ATGGAAAGAGCCTAGGCTGGGGAGGAGGTAGAGAAAGGCTGGAGCAAGGAGGAGCTTTTAGGGAGTGTTCAAGGCAGAAGAGACGGAGTGTCAGCAAAGGGGGCAAAAACTGATCGGGGACAAATAGCGGGTGCTGTGAGTGAGGAGGAGGGCAGAGCTGGAAGGAAAGTGCCATCTCTGCTGCCCAGGGATGTTCCAGGCCTGTTCAGCAATGCAGAAACTGGAGAAGGAGCAAAAGAAGGGAAGAACCAGGGTGGGCAATGGGAGGAAGGGGCAGCTCATTGCAAAGTGGAAGATGGAAGCTGAGCAAAGGAGAAAGTAAAGGTAGAAACGGAGGCCTGTCAGCAGCAAGTGAAGATAAAAAAGGGGAAAAAGAGAGGGAAGAAAGAGTATTCAATGGACTGGAGACAAAAGAAGGGATAGTGAGCTATGGTGAAGGAGAGTAAGTAGCTGTCAGAGGACTAGATGAGAGAAAAGCATGTGGTTAGGTGTGTGACTGAGCTGTGAGACGCTGTCTAGAACTGGAGGCCGGACGAGGACCTCAGTGAGAAGCAGCAGACTCTCAGCTGGGGTAGGCTGGAGAACTGAAATCATTTCTGCAGAGGGCAAAAACGACAAAACCGGGCCTCACCACCCTGCTAAAGAGGGAAGAAAGGACAGCCATGAGGTCAGCAGATGTAGATCACAGGCTCAGAGAGGGTGGCAGATGAGAAGTGAATACAGTGGGTCTCACAGAAGGCAAACCAGGATGTAGGAACAGGAGACTGAAAATAGCATGGCGGAGAGGAGGATCCCAGCACCATAATCAGATCTGACTGCTGGGGGAGCTTCAGAGTTGCCCAGTCTCCATGGCTTCAGAGACCCAAGGCAAGAATGGGGGTGGCTGCAACGGTGGGATCTTTCCAAAATGGACAGCCTTGACACCAGGTTCTGCTTAGCTGCTGGTTCTGGATAAACCAGTGAAATGTGTTTGATTTAAACACAGCCTGGGATCCCCACATGCACCCCTCAGCCATGCTTCCTCTCTCTAATCCAGGCATCAAGCACCCAGACCTCCTACATCTGGAGGACAGAGAAAGGAAGCAGCTTACACAGCACATTACTAGCTCAGGGCAGTCCAACTACTTGCAGTGATTCTGCATTACATGACCTGCATTATAAACCTTAAGAGCAGGTGGTTTTGGCAGGCAGGTGCCCCAGGACTTCACTCTTTATAGTCAATGCTTCAGATCCACCAGCCTCCTGGGCTTTGCTGGTCTCATCTGAGGGAACTATGCTTGTTTGTCTGATTCCCAGCACAGCAATTTCTGCAGTTACCTTAACACATGGGTGTTGTCAACCCAGCACTGATCACACTGGTTGGTTCAGGAAGACTCTAAATCTGTGGAGTCATTTAAGAGGCAGGTAACACAAGCACATCTAGTGCAGGCACAGAGGGCTGCTAGAGCTGCCAGAAGTAACTCTGGCACCTCCTCAAAGCAACTCCTCACTCCTGAAATCATCATTGAAACATGTGACAGAACCAAGCCCAGTCTGGGGCTGAGATAAATCAACAAGGGAGGGTGTATATTAATTTGCCAGCAGTACCTTCCGTCCTCCTGGCCTCCGCTCAGTGCCAGGCAGTGAAGAAAAGGCTCTTAGTATTGCATGTCGGCCTTGGAAAGCACAGAAAAAGAAAAGGGGGAAGGGAAAATGAGGGCTGAAGGCTCCATCAGTCCATGGAGAATGGGGGGAGACCCTAAGGAAGAGACATCAGCTGACGATGAGTAAGGGCAGAGCACAGCCTATGCTGTTACACAGCTGTGCTATATTCAGAAATGTTGTAGAAACATCACAGAGTCTCAAATTGAGCTCCAAGACCTGCAGCCCTGATCCTCTGCCAGTGTTGACCAGCATGGCTTCATTGTAATCAATGATCTTGTCTACCCAGTCATCCCCTACAGCTGGTTCTTCAAGGAGTAAGTAACCGGAGTCATTGCTTCTTCCCCACTTATATGCCCTGCAGATTCCCAGCCACACTCGACAAAGTATTAAGCTGTGCAGAATATGAGATATACCAAATTAATCTACAAAACAATAGGGAGGACAGGACAGCATGCAGAGGGAGGAAGAGGAGGAGGTCAAAAGAAAAAAGAAGAGGCGGAAAGAGAAAAAGGGTGCTAAGCTGCCTGACTTCCCTGCGTCGCTCCTCATTTTGACAGGGAGGTCTCACAGGATACAAGATAATGCCCCCATTTTCAAATGTATCCTGTACCCATGGCTCCCATTGACATGAAGGGGATCAGGATGTTCAGCACCTCCAAGAAGCAGGATGTGAAAGTCCCGAAGCAGCCTTGGGTCTGGTACAGCACTAACATGGCTCAGTGCCTCTTAACATTAGCACCACAGTAGGCTGATTGGAAGGGCTTTTCCCACAGAGCAAGTATGGGCAAAGGGCATGCCCAAGAGAAAGGAGGAAAGTAAAGGAGTAAGCAGGAGACAAGGGGTGTAGGGGAGAAAAGAAGGAAAATGTAAAAGCAAAAAGGAGGAGTGGGGTGAAGATGGGATGAAGATGAATAGGGGAAAAAGGGTAAGAGAAGGGGCATGGAGCAGAGGAGGAGGCTGGAGAAGATCATGGGGAGCAGAGCAGAAGCCAGGAGGAGGGAGATGGAAAGGCAGTCAAATGGCAGAAGCTGGTGTCACTGGGAAGTGTGTTTTGTACCCATTCTAGGCATAGGCACACTTGGATTTCCTTTGACTCCAGCTCCCCCATGGTCCTCCTTAAAGTGACTTCCATTCCAAGGAGTGGGATATGGACTGTGCCATTCTTGGGAAATCCCAGTTGAGTCCTTTGCCAAACTGACGTGTGCCAACCCTGTAGCAGGCACAGGTGCTCACTACATGGTGTTTTGAGCCTTGAGTCCCACCTACCCTTTTTGTCCAAAACCCTGCTGTCCCAGGTTCTGCATCAGCATGCAAATGATCATGCAGTAGTGCTTTGCACAGAAGAAGAGTTCTTGATTTTATTCTTTTATGTAGAAATCGCAGCAGGTCCCCCTCTGAACATGGCTCGCTTCCCAGCTCCAGCTGCACCATGCTTGACCTGCCTACACAGCAGGAACCCTCAGTGCCAGCCAGAATTTCAGAGTGCCCAGCCCATAGCAGATGCCGCTGTTCTCCATGGAACCTGTTGGGTGCTGTGCAATTCAGAAAATGTGGTTGTGTAGACAGCAGACACGCTGAGTCTGGAGGCACCAACCTTGTGGTGGGGAACAGAGGAAGGAGGGGAATGTGAGAATTCAGCACTTATGGGAGACAAGAGAGGAAGAAAAAAAATGTCAGCAGCATGGATGCAAAGCTAGCATGATGCCTGTTGCAGTAGGTTCTCCTGTGCAACCATATGCGGGCAAACTACTCCATTCTGGAGGCCGGTATGCAGCATTCATGAAAAGCAAGGGGACGGTTGGCAGAGGGATGCCCTTGCCTGGGGCTGTATATCAGAGTGCACGGGACATGACTCTGAGGTCTGGAGCGAGCTTTAGGCCCTTGGAGCTCAGCTAACTGGAATCACACAGTGATTCCTTGGAAGGGGTGGGGGTCATAGGCTGCCACTCTACATGTAGTGAGGCCCTCTGGATAACATTGCATTGTGAGCGGTGCGGGAGCTATAGAGGAAATCACTAAAGCATGACTTGAATCAACCCTGGCATGTTTTCAGAAGGCTCCCGCTTGATAGGAGTGTTTGAGCCTTTCGAGGCAGGGCTCTGGAGCCAGCTCTGGGGTTTCAGTAGCTCACCAATGACATCTAGTGTCCAGATGGGAACACTGTAAATGAGCTAATGTTGAGCAAATGTAAGGGTAGTGGGAAGGAGAAACAGGCATCAGAGCCTTGTAGTCTGTTCACAGAACAGGCACGACAAGGACTGACACCCTCACAGCATTCCCAGGCTGCCTCACTAATACACCTTCACCCTGACTATGGAGGGACCCCCCTCATGGGGGCAGGGGTAAATCTCTGGGCCTATTCAGTTCTTACCCTATTTTCTGAGGCTACCAGCAAGGACCTACTTAGTGCCAATTGTGCTGAGGGTTTTGTGATAGACATACTCCCCATCCAGAAGCTGTAAGAGATCCACATATTGTAAGCTACTGAACAGCTCCTGGGGAACAGCATCACCAATTACTGTCAGCCTGAATGGCGTTGGGGTGAGGGACATACAAGCTAGCAATATAGATGTACAAGGTCATTATCAGTCTTCAAAGTTCACCAGCCCTTCCCACTCCCAGCATGGATGTGTTTAAAGTTACAGCCTCTGAAATAATGAACACACCAGACCATAACACAGGAACTGAAAAGTGCCGAGTCTAGTGTTGAGAGACATAAGCCGCATAAGACCTGCAAAAGGAGTTCATTAAGCCAGGCCTATTAATATGCTGTAGGCTTGTGCAAAGCCTCTAACTGCAGTAGGATCCAGTGCCAGGTTTCACACTCCCAGCCCCTGAATGCAGTAGGAAGCACCCACACAACCGAGCAAGTGCCAGCCTTCCCACTCTTCAGTCCGTGGGATGCAAAGCCCGAGGTGTATTTATGTCGAGATTCACCGTCCTGGCTTCAGAAAGCAGTGGGGAGAATGCGTGTTCTGTGTTCAGACTGGGATTCACAGAATGAACACAGAAAGGGCCTACATCTCTGATGCACTGTTGTCCTAGGATTCATGTGCAGTAGCGTGGCCTGAACTTTGAGATGCAGATGAAGCCATGCACTAGTGCCAGGATTCATACTGAATGCAACAGGATTGCCCTAAGGCAGGCAATTATAATGCCCAGATTCCCACCCAAGTGTATTGAAGTGCCTGGCTTCATGCCCCAATACATTATAGTGCCAGGCTCTACACCTGAGGGCGTTCTAGTGCCAGAATTCATGCTCCCCACCTGCAAGTGCAGTAGTAGTAGAACTTGAAAACTGATTAGCTTGCCTATATGTTTTCATGCATCTCCCAATGCTTTTTGTCTCAGGTCCGGGATAAGAAACTTCTCAATGACCTGAATGGAGCTGTTGAAGATGCCAAGACAGCCCGGCTTTTCAATATCACCAGCTCAGCACTCGCCACCTTCTGCATCATCCTTGTCTTCATCTTCCTGCGATACCCGCTCACTGACTATTAGACCGAGGCCAGCAGCACTTGCAGCCAAAATGCCTCCATGCCAGAAGTGTCTGCCGTTATTTCCTGTAGCAAGGACACAAACAATGACCCATCTTGATTGCAAAAAATACAAATAAACCGATAAATAACTAAACCCAAGGGAGCATACCTTCCCTGACCCCAGCTGGTATGTGAACTTCTGTAGAAAAGGGTTTTACTTTTACATTTTTACAGGAAAATATTTATTTTTCGTGATGAAGAAAAGCGTGCAACAATGATGATGGGCAAAGCAGAGAACTTTGATGCATTTTGAGCCGACAGACCTAGCTAGGGACAACAACCGCAGCAGCGGAGGAGAACATGGTGCCCTCCATAACCCAACACTTCAAGTGAAGTGATATGACCAGCTCAAATGGTGGGCTGCTCAGGGGATGGAAACCAGTAGATGGCCTTATTGAGAGAGGGGACCTCCAGAGCTCCCAGGCATCTCTCTGGAAGCATGTGAACTGATTAAAAGCTGGGGAGAGGGAGGAAAGAGTCCAGCAGCAGAGAGAAAAACCTGACAACCAAGACAGGGCTGATTCAGAAGATACCAGATGGTTCAGGCCACTATTAAGCCCTCTTTCTTTCTCTCTCTCTCTCTCTCTCCCTCCCTCCCTGTGTATGTTTTGCTCTTTTCCCTTCTTTAATATAGGAATTTGTTCAATTTAATTTGAAGACCATAATAATATAAAACCCACCACCACCTCTGGAGAGTGGAATTCTAGAGAATTCATACTAGAAAAAACCCTCAAGTCTCCAGATAAAGCCCCAAAGAATTAAAAGGAAAAACCCTCCTTGGAATCCTTTGGAGAATGCTGAGAATGTGGACGGATTCTGGAGGATTTGCATAGATCCTGTATACTGAGTGCTACTGTATTTCTGTAAACGTTCAATAAAGATACCTCTGACATCCGATGCCATTGGCTTTTTGTGCAGTTACCTCTGATTGGGTTTTTCTACCCCTTCAGTCCATGTTTGGATCCGAGGGAAGGCAGAGGAGGGAATTAAAACACATTGGATCCTGTCTATATGGCTTCCCTCCTGACCAACAACAGTAAGTCCTGCCCACTCGATCCCACTGGGGCACACCAATGGCCACCAGGTAGGTAGAGCAGATGATTCAGGAGTGGCCCCAAATGGAGCTGAGCACCAGCCGTGCAGCACTGCCCTTATGTTTCACTGAGGCAGAGAGCCTCAATACAGTGCTAACTGTTCGACTCTGGTGTGCCCAGATTGAGTGAGCAGGTAGAGTTTATTTTGTTAGAAGCAATGTAAACCTAGCTCTCCACCCATGACTGCTGGAGAAGAGTGTGATATCACCCAAGCGTCCATAGAAAGGGGACCAGAATGAACACAGAAAGGACCTGCATCCCTAATGCAGTATTGTGTTAGGATTCATGTGCAGTAGCATGGCCTGCACATGAAATACAGAGAGTACTCCTATGGGCTAGTAACTTGTGGAGAAAGGTCCTGGCCTTTCTTATAAGTCCCTTAGCAAAAAACGATTAAGGTAATATCATGCTTGCAGCTGTCTGAATGTGCTGTGACCCTAGGATTTCCAGAAAGGAAATGCAGTGCATGTATACCATGAATTCAGCTGTTAAGGGATTCAGGATCACAGAGGTTTAGCATCTAGCTCTTGCCTCAGGACAGCTGGGTTCATAATGTGGTGGGCCTTAACTGGAAGCCCACTTGGGCTTATTGCCTAGCCGGCAGCCCCTGCCTGGGGCTCTGACCCCTGGTTTACCCTGATTTTGGTTCTGACTCCTTGCTCATCTTGACCTCAGCACTCCCTATCAGTTCCCAAACCTTGATTCAGCCTGTGACTGGGGCTCTATCCCTGGATTTCCCTTTGGATCTGGTAACTTGGTCTCTGATTCCTGCTCCCTGACTCAGCCTGTGATTTGATCCCTGCCCTCCCACATCTAACCACTAACCACTTGCCTAACCACCAGGCAAGACTTTCTCTGCCCTGGTCCTCACACACAGAGCTGCAAGATGGAAGGTTAATATTGACTCTGTAGACAGCTGCTGCCCAGAAGAGCCTTCAGCTAGGAATAACAAGAGTTGCTACAGGTCAGGGCTGATGTGCTCTGCTTGAGCTGTATGGGCACCTACCAGAAAACATCACACACATCAATCTAGGGATGTAGATAGACCTCATCCTCCCCTGCACTGTTGTTCTCAATCAACTGAAAACAAGCTGAAGTCCTAGTAGATAGGTTCTTGCTCAGCTGGACTGGCCAGTTCTACATGTTTCTGTTGGGGTTGCACAGTTAATATATAAAGTAGATGATGCCCATATACCATAGTTTTCAAAGGGCTCCACAAAGGTCCAGAGGTTTTGCTCCATTTTGCAGGTGTAGAAACTGAGGCCGATAGCTGTCATGGGACACTGCCATCATTAGAGTTGCACATATCCAATTCCATTTGGAGGTGCCTAGAGCCTGATGCTTATATCAATGCTGTGCACCCACTGCTGGCTGAAGCTGTTGTGCACGTCTGTGGAAAATCAACTTGTGTATATCCCAGGCTGGACACCCAGAAGCTGAGGTGCTGCAAATGGATGGACTTTTTAAAAATATAGGCTTCAGTGACTTGTCCAAGTCCTACAAGTTAATGGTAAAACCAGGTCTGATATCCAGCTTACTAAATGCATAGGCCTGTACTCAGTCTAGATCAGTGGTTTTCAAGCTGTGGTCTGTGAACCCCTGGGAATCCACAGACTATGTCTAAAGGGTCTGCAAAAGGTGACTATGGTCAATCAAAAGTAAATGAATACCCAGAGCTTTCAAATGGGTCTGCACCTCCATTGGAAATTTCCAAAGGGCTCTGCACCACCATTTCAAATTTTTCAGGGGTCCACAAATTTTAAAAGGTTGAAAACCACTGGTCTAGACCAATGGTGCTCAACATCTTGGCTGCACGGGTCAAATGAGAGGTGTGGGGCTGGTCTGCTGACTATATAGGGCCCACACACTGGGAATAGGTCCTGCACCACCCAAGACTAGTCCCATGCAGTGGGATTGGGCCCTGTGCTGCTGTGCACACCCCATCCAGTGCATGGGGCAACACTATTTGGCCTGCAGGGCTCTTCACCGATCTGGAAATTTGGCAGGAGGGGAGCAGGCTAGGGGGTAAGCACCCCTGGTCTAGACAACCAGAATCACCTCATCTTGTTCTACCAGAGCTTGTGTGTTGACCTGCTAGGCACACTGCAAGGCCTACCTGTTCTCTCTGTCTTGTTCCTTTCTTGTGTGTGCATGCACATATGAGTGTTCATAAGCATGTTCCACCAGTGAGCCCTGCTTTGAATCCATCCATTCTTTTGCTACCACCCTTTTGACCAACTATACTACCTACTTTCTGCCTTGTGAAAGCATCTCTAGGGGCATATCTTTACAACATTACCATGACAAACCTGGGCACACTGCTGAGAGATACAGCTGCCTGTTGGCTCCCACTCCTTATTCAAAGACCAAAAATCAGGCAGTGTAGCCACTTTAGTGCAGCCCTTGAGCATGCTGCACCCAGGGCTTCTTTCAGCTGCTCCTTGGCATGCCCAAAGCCTGTGCATGAAAGATCATCTTAAAAAGCCTTCCATACAGCCTCTGATCAGATGGGTCGGGATCCTGGTCTTTCAAAGCAAATGCACTGTTCCTAAATATGATGTACTGCAGAAACTCAGAACTGTAGCCTGGTCTGCATTTGAATAGCTAAACCAAAGATGGAAAGTTCCATAACCCATTAGTAACCTGAGCTATGTAGTTCCCTGTTTGACAGAGAAGATCTGACATACTGGATGTCACTAGAGGCTGGCTCATCATGCCTGTAGTCCTGTCTCTGACAGCAGGCAGTATGTGGCACCTCATGGGGATCCTTGTCATGAACAATTATGAAATAATCTGCCCAGAGGCATGATTTCTTCTAACCTCTGTCAGTTATGAGGCATCTTACTCCCTGAAGCAAAGCATGAGGGTTTTAGGCCTTTGGAATTTTTATCCTTTCTAAAGAGCACCTGTTTCTGGTTCCCCTCTGGGACTAAGTGGTGCTCCAAAGGTCTGACAGGGGCTCTGGTGAGAGTGTGGCCAACATAGTTTGCTCTCCAGTTTTCCTGGGCTTTCATTGAGTGGTCCATTCATGGCTAGCATAAAGTAAAGCTTCCCTAAGACTTCTGTACATTAAATCAAAGTCTGAATTGGCCTCTCAGTCATCTCTAGGCTCAGGAGCAGCAGATAGATGAAGTAATATAATTTCTTTCCTCCTCCTGTTGTCCTGGAAAAATTAGTTCAGTTAGACCCAAGTTCATCATCCTTTGTCTGATCAAGGCAATAGTTAGCATCACCTCACTAGTCATACCCCTCAGACTGCTGGTAACAAGCACAGTATATAGCAAAAACCAAAAATGAGAGATGCAAAGAAATTATACATGTGATACATTTTAGAAGCTATAGGGTCCCTGCCTTCAGTGTCAGTGATTGTGTCCTGTCAGGTTCCTGGTTCTTTATTTCTGATCTGATTTCAGCAGTAAAAGGGAGGAGACAGTGACTTTGTTTAACATATAAGCAATTGTCAGACTAAAATGACTGATTCCCCTTGAAACAAGGGACAGTCAAGCGTTAAGCTACTAGCAAATTTTTCCTTTATGCTGGGCCCAAGATGCTTACCGCTCAGTAGACTAATCTACTGCACAGTAAAGTAGCACCATGTAACCATGTGCAGCAGCTACTGCACACAGTAAATTAAGCAAATTAAGTAAATTAAATTAAGTAAATTAATGCATGTTTTTCTACTACTTCTAAATACAGGTAGTAGATGAACTGTGCATTAGCTACTGCTCAGTTGCACATGTGTAGACAGAAGCAAATTGCTCCCCCCAGGCAGCAGGAGGTGGGGGAACTGTCCCCTCCCCTAGCCGTTTCCCAGTTTCAAGGTGCGGGGCTGGGGAACAGCTGCTAGGGGAGGGGCCGGTTTCCAAGCCCCATGCCTGGATCTGCCAGTCAGGACATGGGGCTGGAAAGCATCTACCCCAGAGGTGGAACAGCTTCCCCTGCCCCTCAGAGCCCAGGCCTGACCCCAGTGCCTCAACTAGCCTGGGGCTGGCACCCAGGGGAGCCCGGAGCTCCCTCTGGCTGCTGCAGGTGGGCGGAGCAGGGCAGGAGTAGCCCTGCACTGAGTTGTTCCCATCAGGAGCAAATTTGTTCTCAACATGTGCACATATAAATGCACTCCCAGGGAAAGCTTACTGTCCATAATTTTTCTGCCCAGTAAGCATAAAGCACATTAATAGCACATGTAGATGCACTCACCTTGGGTCTTCCATCCATACAGGTTCCACTGGAGGGCAGTTTCTATGCTGAGATTATATCTTATTAGCTTCTGTGAAATCATATAGCCACTTCTGCAGCTCTCTTCATCTTAAGGTCTGTGCTTTAAGCAGAGGATAGCAAGCCTACTTAGTATTCATGGCGAATGGCAAGGTTCAGATAAAGCGGAAGCTGACACAAAACTGAAACTAGCCCAAACCAAACCTTTCTTTCATTTAACAAGGGTGACAAGTGACTCAGGATCATCTCTATCTGTGATGGATGGTCTTATCTGAAAGAAAATGGATGATGTTTTAATGAACTACTGGGAATATGGAATTGCCTCTCTGTCATTTTTGTATGTCTAAACTGCTAAGGACCAAGAGGGTGGATTATTGTTAGTAGCAGTAGCTTTCATATTTATGGTCTGTTTTCAGTAACACCCAGGCTATTTTAAGTGTTTCCAAACAAAGGAACACAGGCATTTCAGTACTTGATTAGACTTGCAGCCCACCACCTCTCAGATCCCATCTCTTGGATGCCCTTTCCTATGGTATCAAGCAGCCGCTTTTTGCACTTGATCCCAAACTGAAAGCAGGGAAAACAGTG